TGAAAGATGTTTTTGAAAGTGTTGGTGTTTGTTTTGAAAATAGCAAAGATGTTTGTTTTGAAATGGGGAAAGTAATTAGGAGCAATCTACCTACTCAAATGTCTTTCTTGTTCATTTTCTTTTCCTTTGACATTGTTGTCTTACCATTGATTTGGTAAGCAACCTTATCTTTAGATGTAAGCGGGACGGGCGTGGGTCATCGTATAGCCATGATTAGCAATGTCGCAGGGTATCTTAGCATTTTTCTTTAGGGACTAAGATCATTTTGAAAGGCAACTTAGATAGCGTCATTGAGGGACTATGATCTTGTATTTGCTTATTTTTTTGCTAAGATACCTCACATGCATAACATGACCATTTTTTAGGCAACAAGTGGAGTTAACCTTAAGGGTGCATGTGTGAATAGTGTGTTTTATTTGCATAGATTTAATCTTTGATTAGGTTTATCTACTTGTTGATTTTATGTCTTGCCATACAAACCCTAGTTACTAGCATTTATATTTGAAAGCGATAAATTACGGAAATGTAAAGTCCTACGCTATTACATCATTTAGGGGATGAGGGTACAATTTACAAATGGGGATGAAGTAGGAACTTAAATATTACAACCATATCGAATAACCATGAAGGAAACGTAAAAATAGTGTAAAAAGAAGGAAACAATGCATCTTGAACTATTATGTGTCGATACAAGCTCACATGCACCGACACATAACTTTCCTTGCCCCTGTATTGTCAAATCAACTCAGTATGAGTCGATACATAATGGTATGTGTCGACTCATACACTGCATGTGTCGACTCATACGTGCTTTGTGTCGAATCATACATTGTTTTTTCATTCTGTTTTGGGGCTGTAAAGCAGTATATATCGACTCATAAGGCTATGTGTCGACTCATACATTGTTTTTCCTTCTGTTTTGGGCCTGCAAAGCAGTATGTATCGACTCATAAGGCTATGTGTCGACTCATACTATCATTTTTTCTACTTCAACATTGTTTTGCTGCATACATAGGTTAGTTCTCAACACATAATGAAAAGAATGAAAGATAAAAAAAGGTTAGCTTTAAGGACAATGGTTACTACATTTTATCTTCACAAATGAACCATTAATGATGCTTGTATAAAGAGTTCAAAATCAAGAAAAGTTACCTTGAAACTGAAATTTGTGCTTTGAGTTTGAGCTGCTGTATGGGCTGTTGTTGAGGTTTGGAAGTGATGATAGTGATGTTACAGAAGTTTTTCTTGTGTTTGAACAACTTCTATATGATGTATGTGGAGTGTTTAGATGGTTGGACAGAATTTGCAAGGCATGAGAGGTTCAAAGGTTTGGACTTTAAAACTCAAGAGTGGAAGTTTTATGGACTGTTATGGCTTTTGATGGCTAGTTTACAACAAGACTTCTGGATTTTCTCTCTATTTTTATAACCTTTTTCCAACCTCTTTCTAACCTCTTTCTCTTACAAATGCTTCTTCTATTTATAGGAAAGGGGTTTGTGCATATGATCTGATTAGGTTTATAAGACAACGTGTTATGGTTTGGTTGGATTACAAAGATCAAACTAAGTCAAGTACTTCATAGTCCCAAGATGAAGTACCAAAGTTGTTGGTATTTAGGAGTTACTTCCCATGATTTATGGTGAAGTATAATCAGCAACCAGCAAGGTATGGGCTCAAGACAAACTTTGTTCAAAAAGCTTGCTTTTCAAGAATAGCAATGATGCCTTTATGTCATAAATGGAAAGATATTTTGGACAATGGTTTAAACACTTGGGTAATAGCTCAAGAGTGGGTGCAAGCATTAAATTATGATGATATTTGCAAGCAAAGAAGCCTGCAACATAAGATTATGCAGCAAATCATGAGAGTTTTGTTATGTGTTCTTCACTTAGAATGACTTGCAATTCAAAGATGGATGGCCAACTTCAAGCCCTTGAATCTCCTAGCTCAAGTATGATAAATTTATGCTCTTGGATGTTTTGGAAAGCTTGAAACATCCTCTATAACTTTCATGTTGGCCATTTCGACAAAATCATCTTGTAACTATGTGAAAAAATTCCAAGAAGTTGGGGTAAAATTCTGACCAAAATCTGTTGAAAATTTCTCTAAGTGTTAAATGAAAATGTCATGACTTCATGAATTTGTAACTTGAGATCCAAGCACTTCTAGGAGAAGTTATGTAAAGCAATGTTATAGATATCATGGAGATCTATAAATTTCATGTTGAAAGTTTCCCTTGAACCGTCTTGTATCTTGGTGAAAGAATGGCATGAAGTGATGAAATTATCATGTATAAAAACACTTAGAAAATTTCTAAGTCTTGGAAATATTGACTTTTCAAGTTGACTTTTGACTTTCTTGATGATCAAGCTTGATATTCTTGAATGTCTTGATGAAATTTGATCTTTGGAATATAATGTTGACAAAAAATTCAAAGTTTGACTTTCTAATATGCAATTGACCATTTTGCCCTTGTGCCAATTCCAAGCCTAAATTGATGTATGAGTGCTGCAAACTTGACGTCATAGAAGATCTTGTGAGAAAATCCTTGAAAAATGAGAGGGAAAATTTTGGGGTACAACACCTACTTCTCTTGAAGATTTGCGAAGAGCTTAGATTCAGCTAAAGGAAGAGCGAGACACCTTCGAAACCCAGTTCTACGCAAGTGAAAAGAAGGTTTTAGAGCTTACGAGACAGCTCCATGAAGAGCAAAGTTTGAACGCCTACATTGCACCAAAGAGGATGCGCTCGACCTTTTTGTCTTAGGAGTTTATTTTGTATTTATTTCCTCCATTGTAAGCCCAATAGGCATATTTGTAATCAATTTGAATGTATTAATGCAATTGATGTTTGTTCCTTTTGTGTAAACAAATTTAAATCTTCTAAGTCCTTGAAATCATTTGCATACGCATTTTCATGCATCATAACATAAACAGGTTTTCCGCAACAGGTTTCCTTATCTTTCTACTGTTTATTTCAGTAAGATGGATATCGAACAAACAGTGAAGGACTTGCAAGCGCAGAATTCCCAGTTCCAAGAGACCTTGCTGACCCTGGCTAAGGGGCAACAAGAGCTGATGACTATGCTAGTAGCCAAAAAGAAAACCAAAAAGAAGGCCTTCATCAACATGGGTAAGAGGTTCAAAGGTCCAGTTCGTCAGGTACAGATAGTCGAAGAGTCGTCTGAGGAGGATGAAAATCAAGACGAGGAGGCAAGGAGCACTTGTGTTGGGGGTGCCAATAATCAAGCTTCCAAAGATGAAGACTACTTTGATGAGCAATACCCTCCAGCTGAGGATAAATACAAGCAGTTGGAGTATGGACTAAAGGTTGTTGAAATTCAAGCCGTGCCTGGTTTGGATTTTGGTGAGTTGGGCTTAGTACTTGGGGTCGTCATTCCCAATAAGTTCAAAATACCAGTCTTCGCTAAGTATGACGGGGTTTCCTGCCCAAAATTTCATCTAAGGTCTTACGTGCGCAAGATATAACCACACACTACCGACAAGAAGTTCTGGATCCATTTCTTCCAAAAGAGTCTGGTTGGGACTCAATTAGAATGGTTATATCAATTGGAGGGTTCCCGCATCCATACATGGGAAGATCTAGCCACTTCTTTTTATCATCAATATCAATACAATGCCGATCTGGCACCAACTAGAGTCCAACTTCAAGGTATGACAATGCGTACCAATGAGGGGTTCAAGGAGTACACATAAACATTGATGGATCTTGCTGGTAGGGTCCAACCACCGCTAAATGACAGAGAACTAGTTGACATGTTCATGGGTACATTAACTGGCCCATTTTCAACCTTTTGATTGGCATTTCTTCGTCTGGTTTCACTGAGTTGATCCTAACTGGTGAAAGGGTCGAAAGTGGCATTAAGAGCGGAAAAATTCCCATGACATCTGCTTTCGCATCCAATGCTGTAAAGCAGCCTTTCACTAGAAAGAAGGAGACAAATGTTGTGTATGGGGAAAGGGCCCATAACAAGAAGGATCACCGACCCTCTATTAATGTTGTTTTAATCTCAAACCCTCCATCTGCTCAAAGGCAATCATCTAACAATCAACGATCCTAAGTTCCTCGAAGACAGTTCACAAGGATAAGCATGTCGCTGTCCCAAGCCTTACAACATCTGTTAAAAGCCAAATTAGTGAAATTGCGCGATCCATCATCCAATCCAAACATTTCATCACCTAAGTACAATCCAAATTCCAAGTGTGTGTATCATTCCAACAACCCCAGGCATGAAACTGATCAATGTTGGGCTCTGAAGAATAAAATTCAATATCTGATAGACAATAAAACAATTGAATTTAATCAACCTGCTATTCCAAATGTGATAACCGCACCAATGCCGAATCATGGCAAAGGTGTTAACGCAATTGATGATACTACTTTCATCTCTTCCATTGAAGATTTAACAACTCCATTAACTATTGTGAAGGTTAATTTGCTGAGAGCCGGGGTGTTCCCTGGCTGTTCTAAAAATTATGTTTGTTATGATCAACAAGTAAATGGGTGCAAGCGGCTGAAGGAAGGTGTGCAACGCCTAATAGATAGCCACGAGATTCTGTTTGAAAAGATTCCTACCATCAAGAGTTTAACCAACAAAGCTGAAGACTTGTCCATAATAACAATTTCCAACAAGTCTTTTAGGACCCCCTCAAAGGGTCCTATTAGAATTTCAAATGAACCAACCATTGACCCTTAAATAATCATTGTCGCTGGGCCTATCCCCTACTCCTATGACAAATCAGTTCCATGGAACTATGCTGCCGAGGTTTATTATCATGGGATAAAACAAGATTCTTGGATCAACAAAGATGAAGCTGATGTCACCAATATTGTGTCTCTTCATCTTTCTCAATGCAAGCTGCTTCTTCCTACTCTCAACCAAAAACACGTCGCGAAACACCTCCCATAATCGGTGATTCCTTCCTCCTTCGTTCTCATCTCGCTGCTATAGACAAGCATCACGCTGTCGCTTACACACCATGAACAACGGTTCAACCTCTCCACTCTGTCTTACATTCCTCATGATTTACGGACTACTTCCAATTCGTCTCACCCGCGGCCGCTTCTCACGTTCGACCGAAGTAGCTCTGGCGGCTGCTCGAAGTAGATAAAGAAGACCAAAGACGCATATATCTTTAGATCCTGGCTCAGGTATGCATATTCTATTTGATTCTCCGTATGAATTCCTTTTCTTCTTCTGAATTTATACGTGCTTGCATTTTTGAAGTTGTTGTGTTCGATTGCATGTGTGATCTTGTTACGAGGATGGAGCACAATTTCTTTGTTTATATTGAATGCATAAAGATGATGATGAAGATGAATATGCAGTGATGCTTGAAGAATTAGCTTAGGGAGAGTGAGGATTGGTGATGAAGGTGCGGTTATGGAGAGATGAAGGTTGTTGTGAAGATAATTGAAGGAAGGTGCCAAGAGTAGAGGTGAAGATGAAGGTGGTTGAAGATTGATGATGGAGAAGAATGAAGATGAGAGTGAAAAGAGAGTTTTGTTCAGATTTTCTATTTGGTGATTCTTCCGTGAAAAATGAAGAATGAATCGTGAATTGAGGTAAGAAATTCTGTTATATCTTTCTGTTAGTTTGATAGAAAGTTAGTTAGAAAATGAAATGAATCATGTTCATTGGTTTATGATTTCTGTTAGGAAGTGAATGGTGAGGATTGCTTCTGATTTTCTGTTATATTCCCCTACTACTTTTTTTGTTAGATATTTTGAATCTGTTAGCTGTTAATTTTTGAAAGTTTGTTAGAAAATAACTGTCTCTGAGCCCTTGGATTAGGAAATTAGTTAGGGAGAATAGATGGTGAGGATTAGAGATTTGAATTTGCTAATAATTGTCATGAATTCTGTTAGAAGCTGCTGAGCTGGAATTTTAACAGGACCTTTATTCTATGTTTAATTCTGAATTCATCTGTTGGTTTTCAAATTGATATGGTGAAATGGTTAGTTGTTTTGGAGATTCGGTTTTCTTGTACTGAACTGATTTTCATTATCTATTTTGTATGCTTTATGGACTGGTTTGCTATTGTCAGAACCATTTTGGTTAATGTCAAGTTGTCATATGATGAATACTTGCCACTATTTAGATTTTTCATTATTTTCTTGTCATTGTAAACTGCATTGGTTAATTGTTGTGGATTTGTTTGGTTAATTTTCAGGGCTGCAACTTGAATATGTTCATGGATGCATTGATGTTTCATGGGACATGATTGAAATATTTGGATATCTTAGAGGGATAATGAAGACGTAGAGTGAATTGGAGTAGAGTTTGATCATGAAGATAGCTTGAAAATGGAGCAAAGGAAATGGCACGTGAAACTTAGCGTGCAGATCTTTGGAGCCTTTGCCATGGTGATTAGGATTAGAGCATGAACAATTTGAAAGGAAGTTTGGCATAGGTTTAGCTTTAGGTTCATGTTTTTTATGTGATGTAAGGCCTTGTAAACCTCTTGTACATTTTGTAATGAACATGAATGAACTTTTATTTTGATGGAATTAATCTTGAAACTTGAATGATTTGAATGATGAAGTTATGAATAATGATTGAATTTTGAATCACTTTGAATGAATTCTTCAATGAGAACCCTTCCTCAATATAAGTCCACTTGTATTGCAATCCAAAATGAAGCATAAAAGAATTACTCGTATCTTTAATGACCCTCTAATTCAATTCATACTTGTATGGAAAATGACAAATACTTGAAGGAATGATGATGCCTTTGAACTCTTGAATAAGGTCTTGAATGAGTTTTGAATATTTGAAGCATTGATTCAACTTTTGTAAATCAAATATATATGATCTCAAAGTCATGAACTTCCCCTCTTTAGCATGTATGCCTCTTAATAATTTTGATCGCATTGAATCCATGACATAAAATGATCATTTGAATGAATCCAAATCAAATTCGATTCTCAATTACCCCCGCCTTCGATTCTCAAATCCATATCAAACATGTATTATAAGAAACAAGTAAAATGAAAGAAGTAATAATGCCTCGATAACATTGGATCAACAAGTTCAACATCTTGTACCACTGCTTAACGTTTCTTCAATTTAAACCACAAGCCCTATAACTTGATGACCAATGATCTTAACACAAAAGGAACGCCTTGAGAAATCTCTGAAGATGTGTGAGATTTGACATAAAAACCCTAACCAATCATCCATTGATGAAAAATAGATCCACAGTAACACATGAATCAAAACCCTAATTCCACTTCAATACTTAAAGAATAATCAGATGAAATCAACTTTATTTGATATATACACCTCAACATTGTGGAAATCTTAGCTTGTACAACCATTGATTTTTTGAACCTCAGGGTACTTTATTGAGTGAAAATGCATGTTAGTAACCTAATGAAATATGTGAATGCAACGCTAAGCCTAAGTCAAATAAAAGTACAATTAGGAGGGTAAATTTTGGGGTGCAACACCAATATCTTTGTCACATTCAAAGATCATTAATTTCTAAGTGACTGCTAAGCTATTTATAGAGGTTGCTCATTCCTCTTTCACCTTGTGAGGTTTCGTGTTTCCATAATTCTTATGGCTTTTGTTCGGTTTTGGGCGAGTTTAGTTTGGATATGGTTTTATGAAGGCCTTATTTGCCAATTTTTGGCTAAAAAGGGGGAGAAAGGGTTTGCTCAGATGTTCAGTCTGGAGGTTATATTTCTAGATGTTGCACAAACATGTCGAAGAGGATGTTCTATCCTATTCCGGGTTTATATTGTGACTTGTGATCTGAGTTATGAACACAGTTGTAACATGTGTTCTAAGTTACCAAGGGTGGCATATGGATACTTCTAAAGTTTACTCTTATGCCACAGGTTGACTGATGGGTGCTTCATGGTTCTCTTATGCCACCATTTGAAAGAAAAAATTATTCATTTGTGATAAGAATAGGTTCTTCGGTTGAGGGGGGGTGCAGATTATCTTCTTCCTCGTGGGCATTGTGTGCATCAAATGACTTCAGAATTTTCTTTCCTTTTATCCTGAGGTTGTTGTTCTTTGATGTTGAAGTTCTTGCTGCAACGTAGCTCATTCAAAATAATGGAAAAAAGATATTGAACAAGATGTCATGGCATCTTGACTGAAGACTGACTCCATGTTTCTGCTTAGTAGCTTCTGAAGACTAAGCTGGTTTGTTTTTGTTTATTGTTGTAATCTGGGTTGTAATTTATGTTATTTGTTTTAGCCAAAATTTTCCAAAAGAGGAGATTGTTAGTTCTCTATTTTTAAGATTGGCATTAATTTTAGTAAAACAAATATATCAGCAATATGTTAAATAAGGTGTATTATCTTGCTAAGAAGAACAGGTTGAGCAAAAAGTCCTATTTTATGTTGAGACTTGTTGAGATGAGAAGTTCTCATCATCTGAAGCAACATATCGGATCAGATGTCCTATGCAGGATCATTCGACATCGCGCTGTTTTATAAGTCTGGAAGATTCAAGTTAGAATCAAGAAAATATTGAAGAAAATTGACTTTCTAATTATGGAGATAAATTAGGAAAGATTTCCTTGAAGACATATTTTATAGTAGAAGTTTCTGCTGATTTGTAGCAGCTGATATGCTATAATTTGAAGCCCAAATCCAAATGTGAAAAGGTTATAAAGTAGAAGTGTTTGTAAATTAGAAAAAGCACGGGTCCAAGATGTAGATCATTAGGGCTTTGTCTTTGTGCTACTCTCTAGGAGAGTCGGTCTGTCCTTTAGGTAATAAGTTGAGTGTTGTTCTTGGAGGAAGCTTTTAAGCAACTCTAAGTATTGCTCTTAGTCAAGAGTCTTGGCTAGGTATTGTCATGGAAATGTGTCTTCTATTTTGTTGTCATGGAAGTGTGTCTTCATGTATTTTGTCCAATCGCTGTCTGTGATTGATGAGGGATTGATGGGGTCATCATATATAAGTGAGTCTTAAATAGAAAGTTAGCACAAGTAGTGATTAAGTGAGTAGATCGTAAACTAATATGTTTGTTGTAGGATCTATGAATTGAATACGGTAGGGTGTTCTGTTTCACAAGAGAATGAAGATGAAACAAGTGTTAAAAAGTAAATAAAAAATTAGAGTCTAATTATATAAATTATACATGCAAAATAACTCACTTCAAATACTAGGGTCAACTGAGAGAATAGAAAATTTTAAAATAAAAAAACTATAAAAACGTCATTTTCTAAGAATTTCATGCAAATGGTATTTCTTTTTGGCTAGTAGACTAACAGAGAGAATATACAAATTTAAAATTAAAAAATAGAAAAATAAATAATAGGAGATTAAGTAATTAATTGAACGAAATCAATATTTCTGTTTGTAAAAAATTACTTTAATTTTTGTGTATTAAATATTTCTTTTTCATCCAACAAAACTATTTACAAAATTTAAAAGAAATAGAAAAGAAAATAAATATGATTTGAATCCTGGTAAATCTATGCTCATTAAAAAATAAACAAAAAAATATATAAAATACAACAATTTGAATCATAAACCCTGACTGAGTTCCTATAATAATTAAAAAATAAACAAAAAATATATAAAATATAATATGTATGATTTAAATCGTGAACTCTGATAGATCTTTTTCCTCGACTAGTACAAAAATCTGAAAAAATAGATTATATTTAAAAAAACAATTAAACATGGCGCATCTAAGAAATATACACTATTATTTATTAGCCAAAATAAAAACTTTATTATAAAACATATTATTTGTAATATCCATACGCTAGTTAATACTGGATACATCTTCACAAATTCTTATTTGTCTTTTGCATTTAGAAGTATGAATATATATGATTAGAACACCCTTAGTGCTAATGTCATTTTCAGAAAATAATCATTGGTTTACTGTATACCATTTATTGACTATTGAAGAGAAAGGATTATGATGACCCATTCGATGGAGAAGTATGAGAACATTATTATCTTAGCAAGAATTCAATCTCCAATAGATTAGTGACTATTGTTCTACTTTCGCAACATCCACACATTAAGTTATTTTGTTGGGTATATATCTTCTAGTTGCAAAGTTCATACGTATTTATTTCCCTAAAACGTGTATGGGATTAGCCAATTAATTCATTGGGTCACTATACTTCCTATTACTAGGGACTAGTGAGTGGTGTATGATTGTTTTTCCTTTCATATTATTGGCAAATGACAATGCATGGCATCTCATTAGAATAATTTAAAGAAAATCAAAATCAACGAATTATTTTTTACTAAATTATATTCCCTTTCCTTCAAAGATGTTAATACTGCATTTTTGTTCCAGCTTAATTTTTATTCTGTCTTAAGATATTAGAAAAAATAGAGAAAAAAATAAAAACATAATATCAAGAGATTAACGTATAAACTATAAAGACAAAAAATCATAACCGCTCTTAAATAATAATTAGAAAATAATGTTATATAAAAATTGTTACAATACATATTTTATTCTCAATCACTCTAAAGTTCATATATATTTGTACTCTTCAAAATAAATATTTAACTATCTTTTACGACACTTTAAAAATAAGAGTATAAGAGAAAATATAAAAAATCAAATACAAATTTAAAATATTTTTTACTGGTACATCTTAATACTAAGAAATTATATATATACACTACACCAAAAATAAAAAATAACAGTACACCATAGACAGTGTTCATTTCAAGAAGCGTTGCTATAAGGTAAAAAATTAAAATTATAAACTAAATTAATAAAAGTGTTGCTAAAGGGCATAGAAAAGAAAGTGCTTTTTTGAAAGCGCTGCTATAGAGCATAGATACGAAAGCATTTTTTGAAAGCGCTATTATAGGGCACAAATAAGAAAGCGCTGCAAAAATAAAAAATAACAGTGCACCATAGACATCGCTCATTTCAGGAAGCGCTGCTATAAGTTAAAAAATTAAAACTATTAACTAAATTAATACAAAACGCTACTAAAGGGCATAGAAAAGAAACCGCTTTCTTGAAAGCGCTGCTATAGTGCATAGATACGAAAGCGCTTTCTAAAAGTGTTGCTATAGGGCATATATTAGAAAGCGCTTTTGTCATTAAAAACGCTGGTAATGCCTATACTTTAGGAAGCTCTTTTTGAAAGTGCTGTCTTTTCAGAATTCTAAAATTAAAACTCTTAAAACCTAAAATAACAAAACACGATTCACACTCCCTACGTCATCTGTTCAACCATCTTTCTCCAACAGCCTCTGATTACGTCAAATTGTCATTCACACTCCCAGCAGCATACCCCTCCGTTCTCGATCCA